CCGGCTGTTGGCCCCCCCCCCGGCCCCACACCCGCAGCTACCCCGGTCCCCCTAGTGGTGGGTGTGGCCCCAGGGGGGGTCCGGGGTGGGGCACAAAACCCCATTTTTGGGGTTTAGCCCACGGGGTGCGCGCTCTCGTTGCGCACCCCCCACTTTTCTTTTTTTTTTTTTCTTTTTTTTTGGATGGGGGGGGGAGGGATTCCGGAGCCGGGGTTGGGGGTGCCCATCCCCGGACCCCCGGACCCCCAGACCCCCGCCGGGGCCCCGGGGCCCCGGAGCCCCGTGGCCGGGGCTCAACAACCCTGGATATGATTGGTTGTTTTGATTGATTGGAAACGAGTTGTTTGCTCTGTACTGAATTTTGACCGCTATCAATGGACTGTGTAAATCGGTTGCAGAGGAGGGCAATTAGGCTGCGCGTCGGATTCTCCCTCCTTGTTTACTTCGAATGGATACAATTTGGTTGATAGGAATTGATTCGATTGGTTTGGATCTGACATTGTTTTTATTTTTTGGGGGGAACGATATATATCATCTGCTATGAGTTGAGTATGTCGATCTGACCCCCCTCGCCATTATGTCCGATCCGATGTCCAATCCGACTTGGAGGAGCGTTTTAGGTTTCATGAAGTCTCCCCCCAGACCGAATCTGCCACATGGCAGGGGTGGGGTGGAACCTCACTAGCAGTTGGTTATATACAGCGGTTTCGTGGGATCCTCGGGGGGTCGAGATGGGTAGCTAATTCCCCCCGTGGGAGGGCAATCAGCCCTGCACATCATCAAAGATAATTCATGATCTGAATTGTTCTCGTTGGACCCGGTTGGATAAGCTGCGAATGAATGGCCATATTTTGAAGTTTTTTTCAGGATAAAAACTTAAAACTGAAAAAAGAAAACAAAAACAAAAAAACGACGAATACAAAGGTAAGAATCTTCAGGATGCTGGTGGGGAAGGTGGTTTGAGATAATCTACTAAGGGAAGGGCATCATTCACAGTGCCGAGGGAAATAGTAGCGCCAAGGCAGGAAGAGTAATGACCATAGCCCATACACACTGTATTCTGATGCTGTTTCCAAGGGACGCTGAACCCGGTTTCCAGCAGGTGTCGGTCCCCTCAAATAGATGG